CTATTCAAAAATAACTTAATAATATCAAACATTGCTAAAGGAATCAATTTTAATGAATAATTACAGATTTCCCAAATTTTCCTCCAAAAAGTCGAAAATCGACCCCGGGCCTGCTTGGTCAAAACCCAAGGTTCGGACCAAAATCCATTTACCCATTCACCCCCGAGCCCGAATATGTAATTAGTTTTGGAATCCGACCTCAAATCGAGGTCTAAATCCCCAAATTTCTGAAAATTTTAGTTTCTACTCTAACTCCTAATTCAACCATGAAAACTCTAGATTTTAGGTTGATAATTCATAAAATGTAAGGGGTAATTGAAAAAAAATAATTTAGAATCACTTGCCAACAATTTGGATAAGAAATGGCTCTTGAAAAATCACCTCTCACCGTTTGGTTTTTGAGAAAAATAATTTTTTGGCTAAAATCCCGTTTTTGGATTCTATTAAGTGTTGGGCGACAGTGTTCATCGCGTTCGCGAGAGCACTATCGCGTTCGCGAAAGGTACAGGCTGCCAAGCCTTCGCGTTTGCGAGACCCAGCTCGCGTTCGCGATGGTTACTCCCACTTGGCATTCGCGTTCGCGAGGCATTGCTCGCGTTCGCGATGAAGGAACGACTGACTCCCTCTCCCCAATGCCTAACACTACGCGTTCGCGATGGGCTTGTCGCGTTCGCGAAGTGTAACGCCCCCCATCGCTTCGCGTTCGCGACCAAGCTTCGCGTTCGCGATGAAGAAATCCATGCCTCATCAGTTTACTCTTCGCGTTCGCGAGAGGACCTTCGCGAATGCGAAGAAGGACATGCCAGAACCCAGGCTTTGCAAAAAAAAACCAACTTTCCAAGGTCCAAAACATCTCGTGGCCTATCCAAAACCCACTCGAGCCCTCGGGGCTCCAAACCAAACATGCACGCAAGTCTAAAAATATCATACAAACTTGCTCGCGCGATCAAATCACCAAAATAATACCTAGAACTACGAATTTAGCACCAAATCAAATGAAATTCTCAAGAACACTTTAAAATTCATATCTTTTCAACTGGACGTCTGAATCACGTCAAATTAACTCCGTTTCTCACCAAATTTCATAGACAAGTCTTAAATATAATAATGAACCTGTACCGGGGTCCGAAACCAGAATACGGACCCGGCACTAACAATGCCAAATATCAATCAATTCTTAAATATAATTAATTCTCATACTTTTAATTTTCATCAAAAATTTATAACTTGAGCTAGGAACCTCCGAATTCGATCCCGGGCATACACCCAGGTCCCATAACTCAATACGGACCCACCGGGACCGTTAAAATATGGATCCGGGCCTTTTTACCAAACTGTTGACCGAAGTCAACAAAAATAAACTTTTAAGGCATAAATTCTTATTTTCATCAATTTTCAACATGAAAGCTTTTCGAAAATATGTCCGGACTATGCACGTAAATCGAGGAGGATAAAAATAATATTTTTAAGGCTTAAGAGTGCAGATTTGAGTTTTAAAACATAAGATGACATTTTGGGTCATCACACTTTATTTGTGAAAAAAGAGGTGCAAAAGATTATCCATTTACAGAAAATAGCAAATCAAATGCCAGATGCATTTACGGATCTGAAAACAATAACAAAATCACATATCCCTACAGAGAATGTTCTAATCCATATTAATGTCCCTGTTGGACAATCTTCTAGTGTCATAACTAATGAGTCAAAAGCACGCATAAAACGTGGCAGACCATTGGGTTCTAAGGATTGAAATCCTAGAAAAAGGAAAACAAATTATCAAGATGACACTATGAAAGAGTCTCATGAAGAAACCCACGATTTAACCAATCCTGAGATTGACGAGGAAATCACTAAGCCTCAGACTCAAGAAAATAAGGAACTATCAATAAACCCAATCGATATTGAAACAAATTTGAATCGATCAGATATAATGGTGGATTATATCATTGCATATAATGTTGAATCTAGCATTATGCAAGATAAAGAGGATCTTGAACCTCAGACTGTTGGAGAATGTCAACAAAGACGTGATTGGCCGAAATGGCAAGAAGCAATCCAATATGAGTTGGATTCACTTGCGAAACATAAAAAAATTTAGGCATGTAGTCCAAACACCTAATGGTGTTAAGCCTGTTGGCTATAAATGGGTCTTTGTACGTAAGAGAAATGAGGAAAATGAGGTACAAAGATATAAGACACGCCTTGTTGTACAAGAATTTTCACAAAGGCCTGATGTCGTTTATGAAGAGATATATTTACCTGTTATGGATGCAATAATATTTTCTTATCTCATTAGTTTTGTTTTTCATGAAAAAATAGACATGCATTTAATAGACGTGGTTATCGCCTACCTTTATGGGTCACTTGATAATGAGATATACATAAAAATTCCCGAGGGACTTAAAATGCCTGACGCACATAATTCAAAGTCCCGAAAAATATTTTTAATCAAATTGCAAAGATCTTTGTATGGTCTAAAGAAATCGGGATGAATGTGGTATAATCGTCTTAGTGAGTATTTATTAAAGGAAGGTTATATAAATGATGTCATTTGCCCATGTATTTTTATAAAGAAAACAACATCAGAATTTATTGTACTTGCCGTATATGTTGATGACATAAACCTTATTGGAACTCCTATAGAACTCCAAAAGGCAATTGATTATTTAAAGAAGGAATTCGAGATAAAAGATCTCGGAAAGGCAAAATTATGTCTCGGTTTGCAAATTGAACATTTGACAAACGAAATTTTTGTTCATCAATCTGCCTACACAGAAAAGGTATTAAAACGGTTTTACACGGATGGAGTACATCCATTAAGTACTCCGATGGTGGTTTGATCATTTGATGTGAATAAGGATATGTTCCGACCTCAAGAAAAGAATGAAGAGCTACTTGGTTCTGAAGTACTATATCTTAGTGCAATTGGTGCACTAATGTATCTTGCTAATACTACAAGGCCTGACATAACTTATTCAGTTAATGTCATAGCAAGATATAGCTCTGCTCCTACAAGGAGACATTGAAATGGAATCAAACACATATTGCGGTATCTAAAAGGGACTACCGATATAGGCTTATTTTATGACAATAATTACAGTCCCGATCTTGTTGGTTATATTGACGCTGGATATTTATCCGGCCCACACAAGGTTCGATCTCAAATATGCTATGTGTTTACCTGAAGAGGCACTGCCATATTTTGGCGATCGACTAAGCAATCAATCGTAGCTACTTCATCTAATCATGCTGAGATAATTGTTATTCATGAAGCAAGTCGAGAATGTGTGTGGTTGAGATCTATAATACATCTTATTCGAGATAAATGTAGTTTGAAGTGTGACAAACTACCTACGATTTTGTATGAAGACAATGCAGCATGCATAACTCAATTGAATGGAGGATTCATAAAAGGAGATAGGACAAAGCACATTTCACCGAAGTTATTTTTCACACATGAGCTTCAAAAGAATGGTGATATCTATGTGCAACAGATTCGTTCATGTAATAATATGGCTGATTTGTTCACCAAATCTCTACCGACGTCGACCTTAAAGAAGTTGGTGTACAAGATTAGGATGCAAAGGCTCAAGGATGTGAATTGATGCTCTTATCAGGGGGGATTAATACGCGTTGCACTCTTTTTCCCTTATAAGTTTTTGTCCCACTGGGTTTTCCTTGCAAGGTTTTTAACGAGGCAACCAAAAGGCATATTATTAAACATGTGTACTATTTTTTCTTTACTAGAATTTTTATTCCACTGGGTTTTATTTTAGTTAAGGTTTTAATGAGACACATTACCTATTGAGTAGACATTCAAGAGGGAGTGTTATGAATAGAATTGTACTTGGAGTGAGAGTTTGTTACTTTATGGCTAAGTCATTTTTTTCCCTATAAATAAAAGGGTTTTACCCATTGTAAATCATTTCAAAATCAATAGAATTCTCTCTTGTCTCTTCAATATTCTTCTTTTCCGTTATTGTTTTATTTCAACTACTCCATTCTTCTTTTTATATATGCAGTTAAAACACAATAATAGTTCTTGGGGCAAAGTATAAAAGTAAGAAACAAGACAAGAAAAAACAAGTTCGAATAATAATTAATTAGGAAAAAGAAACAAGAAAATGTAACAGATGGGTAATAAATTACGGCAGTAGACATTCGATTATAAATTCATTGCTGTGGTCCAATTTAATTGTGTGAAAGTGTGTGGTGACTTTCAACTGTTACCTACAGAGATATCAAACGTCGGGCCATATTTCTGGGATAGTGAAATATCCAAATCTCTAGTATTTATTGGGACCATTATACCTTCACTTCTTCCTCAGAGCCCAAAGATCCAAACTCTATTGTGCTATTTAAAGCCCCATTATGTAGTTTACTGTACAAATTCCTTTCAAATTTTAAAAAATCATGGTTTTAAATTCTTTTCCGCGGAACAAACAATTAATTAATAATAAAATAAAATGCTAGTTTTTCTTTTCCAATTGTTGAAACTCTTTATTTATTTACAGTTTCCAACAGCTAGGGGCAAAATGTGAACTCCTTGAGTGGGTTCTCTTCGAATTGACCTTGGGGAAAGATGTACACTAGGAAAAGATTTGGCATTTTCAAATAATTAAGTGGGCGTTTGGACATAAGAATTATGAAATTCCAAAAAAAAAAAAAATTATTTACAAGTAAAAATGATATTTTAAAATTAGAGTTGTGTTTGGATATGAATACAATTTGAAATTATTTTTGAATTTTTGTGAGTAATTTGAAGTGAATTTTGAAAAATAGTTTTTTGAAATTTTTTATATTTACGAAAAAATTCAAAATTCAATTTCAAGTGAAATTTGAAAATTTCATGGCCAAATATTGAATCCGAAAAAAAAGTGAAAATTTTTCGAGAAAAAGTGAATTTTTTTTATGGCCAAAGCCCTGAAAATCAGTGTCCCTTCTTTGAACCAAAAAGTGCACAGAATGACATTTCCAATTAAAAGAGAGAACCCCTTGTATAAATTATTCATTCTTACCCTCATACAGTTCTCTAATTTGCAACCAAGAGCCACTGTTTTTGTTTCTTTTTCACTTCCCAATAAAACAAAAGAAAATAAAACTCATTTTATTCTCCTTCCCCTCTTTTCTCTTTTCGTTTCTTTTTCTTTTTCCAAGTCTTTTTTGCCTTTTCCAGATTCATACAAAGCAAATTAAAGTCACCAACCAAACAAACCAGTAACCAAATGTTCATTCCCAAGTACCCACAATGGCACAATCTCCTCTTTCTCATTCTCATTTTCGTTTTTTTTTTCCTCCTATAATAATAGGAGTAGTATTTCTTTTCAGTTTTAGTTCTTTGATACAAAAGCAAAGCTAGTGTCACTCTCCAATGGGCCACAGCTACAAATAAACGTTATCTTATAGTAGTTGGCTTCTGCCGATGAATTATAAACTTTTCCTGATCTTTCTTTTTTACTCTTGTAGTGGGCACACTACTGCTTCGTTTTCATAAAAAAACTCTGCAGATTGATAGCTTAATATTTATCAAACATCAATATCAACGTTATTGTGTGCATCAGAGAAAGCTGAACTGTTGTCAATAATCTTTCGACGTTTCAAGTTCTCTTGCCTGCTGTTTATGGCCATTGCATTAAGTACATGACCGCCACAGCTATCTTCTGATTTTGTAATTGGCTCGTTATCTGAACTCCAACTGCTCGAGAACTGTAGGTCAAGTACGTTGACTGGCGTGCTCGTGCTTGACACTTTGTCAAGAATTGATTCGTATCCTTCCTTTGCTATCTCTTGCATCACATCATAGCAACGTAACAAATCATCCTGCACAACCCAGGGATTCACTTCATTCTTGATCACATAAAAAATGTACATGCATGTTACGTTATGATAATATGTTGTTTCTGTTTCAATTTATGTGAACGTATTTTCTTTTTAGTCCGTATAAAAAAATGATCCACACAAAATATGTGTCTTATTTTACACAATAAATTCAAAACTCTTTTTTTTGTCTTAATCTACGTGCCTAATTAAATAGGTTCATATAAATTGAAACGGAAGGAGTAGTTACTATTGTCTCCCGTTACCAATCAATACATAGAGAAATATTTGTAATTACCTTAGAGTTGATCTGATTATGTTAGGGTTATTTTTTGTACTATTAGTGCATAACAATTTAACACTGGTGGTTAGAAAGTGATTCTATGTGCACTGCCAAAGTAAATAAATTTTTTGCTATCAACTCACTAAATAGTTGATTAGAGTCAACTCTGTATAATGAACATATATAGATAGATAACTTGAAAATGATAATATACAATTGATAAAAATGTATTGATAGTATATAAGAATTTTAGAATGCAATATATATAAGTTAAATCTGAAAATAACTGCAACTGCATTATAAGTTAAATCTGGAAATAAGTGCAACTGCTTCATAGTTACAATTACTACATCAGTATCTTGCTATAGTAGGTGAGACATATTACAGCTACTCTGATCAATTTATGTGGTAGGATGTACTAATTTGATGTAATTATTGGCTCATTATTCTTACAATAAATTATTGAATATTTGGTTAGCCCATCTAATACTCCGTTTCCGTGGTAGATATAAATTACAGAGCAATAACCTTAATTTGACCCATAAAAGTATGGAAACTCTGCCGCTGGATTTTTCACGTACAAGTCACTGATGATAAAAACAACTACTTTTACCATTCATTAATTACATTAGACAATCATAAGGTTCTTTATTTATCAATTTATAGCTTGTTACCCTACCTCACCCATCCAATACTATTACTCCTATTATTATAGTACAACCAAAGCTTATTACTTATTAGAGGTGAAAAAAGATCGTGAACATTGTTTCTTATATTTGGAAAGAACAAAATGCATGGAATAAATGTGCTTAAAAAATAAAGCGGGTCAGATGCACAAAATATATGTATTTACTCAGGAATCATGTTAAAGTCACACGATTTACAAGGGATGTGATTTAGACAGCCAGAGGCGGAATCAAGATTTCAAGTTTGTGGGTTCGATATTCTAATCGTTTTAAGTTACTGGGTTCTAAATTAATAAGTTATACATATTTAATGGATTTTTTAAGATAAATACAAGGTTCGGCAAACCCGAATCGTTTTTAGATTCTAATCGGATCAATGCTATTGGGTTCGGCAAATCCGAACCTGACACTCTAACTTCGTCACTATAGACAGCGTACCCTAATACAAGCATTAGTTGTTGATTTCACGAATTAAATCCGTGACCGAACCCCATAACCTATAGTCATACGGAATCAACAAAATGCATGGAATCAATGTGCTTACGAAAGAAAAAGAAACTGCAAACCAACAAAGAGAAGAAAAACGAAATTGAGCAAAAATATGAATTACCTTATGTACGTGTGAACAGTTTAGGATTGCAGTTTTATAGCATGGGAATTGTAAAGGGAAAAGCTCGTGACAAGCAGAGAGAAGAGCTGAAGCTGAGATTAAAGATGGCTTGAACTGCAAAATCTTGATATCTGGAAATGAAAAAAAACAAAAGATATATTTTAGGTGATAATTCTTTAAGCATCAAAATATCCAGATTAATACTCTGCGACAACTTTGACTTACCATTTTGAGCTCTGAGTATAATATCTGTGGCTCTGGCTTTTAGAGCTTGCTGTAATGGTAGATCTTTGAATTTGAAAAAAGAGATGAAGAAACTAATGAAAGAAAAGGCAGTAATTGAGCGCATTCTCCATTTAAGTTCGCCAAGTATCAAAAACTCCATTCTCTTTATTGTCTCTATATCAAATATCATACCACCAACTTGCTGTAAACCACCAAAAAATAATGTAACATAAAGCAATTATATCTTGGGTTTTTAACTATCATTCAAAAAGATGAAATAATTAATCAGTACCTGAATATCAGTTGCAGAGTACTCCGTTTCCTTCATTTTCAGTGCTAAAGAAACACAAGAAACGGCAATCAGCCTCAACATCCATGGCTTCCCTTCCTACATTATCAAAACTTAATCATATTACATGAATTCTAATCGTATCTCCCAATATATTATTACTTTTTTTATATTAATAAAAGAGAAATGTAATTATACCGATAGTGAATGGAAGGAGAGGAAGCGGTCAAGATAATTAATGCCAAGATACGAGAGAAATGGATCAAAGTGGTGAGAAATTTGAAAGATTATAGAAATGGTTGCTTGACGAATGGAGATATGAAAATCTGAGTTCTCAACATTTTGATGGTAAATTTTAGAAGGCATATGATCAGTTTCAATGTTGAAAAGTGGAGAAATGGTGTCTGCATTAAAGTCATGGCTAAGTGGCAATGGATTTTCAAGGTCAAACTCCATTGTTATTGTTCTTGAAGCTCTCTGTTTTAGCTTTTGGTTTTAGTTAGAGAGTGAGGAATAGGTATAAAGTGAAAGAGAATACGAAGCACATTGTTAAATGAAGAGGGAAAAAGTTTTTCGGAGTTTTGGGGGGGGAGGGGGGAAGTGTGGGGAGGAATTAATGATAAGAAGAATAGGTGAGAGACTAGTGTCTCATTCTTTAAAAGAAAGCGGTAGGGAGACTTCAACTTCACTCAGTGGTCTCCTCTCTTGTTTTCTTTTATTAATTGTAAAAAAGATAATCTTAGAAAAAGTTATTCTGCGTTCATGTAGTATACCGCATTCGACGGATTTGACACAACTTTATTATTTCTCCAAACTTCTTTTTTTAATTATTATATATTATTTTTAATTTCTCTCAGTATTGGGAAGGAAAATTAGTAGATATATTGGAGAGGGGAAATCAGAGAAGATTAAAAGGCTTCAAACTCTGCAATATGCTTCTAACAATGTCAGTCATCAACATTTCTCCGGTCAAAAGGAAAATATAATTATCACTCTCTCTTTACTGACTATTTTTTCACATTTTAGCGGGGAAAGTATATTTAATATTTTAGTACTAGTTAGTTAACTAATCTTTTTTCCCTATCATGTTAGCTTCTTCTTATCCTTTTCCTTTATGCTTTTAAATAATTTGATCGGTTTACACTTCTCAAACTCGTCTGTCATCTTTTCTAACACGTGATCATTACTCTAAGACTAAATTTAGTTAATCATGCTAAAGAATTTATTGAATCTCAGCTTGATAAATACATTTTAATTCTTTGTTACTTATAAATTTGAATTTGAGATATGGATCAAGAAACAAATGTTTTATGGTCAAGATTATCAACTAATACACTCATTGTTAATTGGAATAGGTTTACCATTTTCAAGTTCTAACACTACCAAATCAGTTGAAATTGCGTTCGATAAAAAATACCTTTGACAAATATAGTGAGAACATATACTGTCTGCATATTTATACTAAATAAATGTCTCCTTTGCCATATCCCATAATAGAGACAATAAGTAAGGTGAGGCTCATACCTTTCCTCAAATAAAATGATTGGACATATTCAAAGACAAGGACAAGTTTGAAATCTGCCTCTTCGAATAACACCATATAACTGCGCTCCAAGAGAAAAATTAATAAAATAACCACTGCCACCATTCTTCCAAAGGAAAAACTCCAAAAAAGATATAGTACATTACAATGTAATTATTTATTTTGCCCCTAAGTCTTGGCAGAGTGACAGCTTGGTTTCGTGTCATTGAATATATGTCCATCTTCCATACAACTGGAAAAAGATTATCAATGGGACAAAACATTAGCAACTTCTATGCAGTTATAGACTTATTAGTTATTACACTATTAGTTTAATTAGTTTAATCCCCACTTAAACTAGCTTGAATTTTAACTTTTTCTTTCTATGGGGTTTAGTGGAAACAGAAGTCAATGTGGGAAATGCCTTGAGTTTGAATCAAGTCATAGTAGGTTTTCCAAAATAAACCTTATCTATTTTTCAAAACATAGAAACCAGGGATCCACTAGTCCACTACAAATTTTATAGGTAATCAATTCCGCAGATACTCGGGCTTTTTCTTCTTGTTATGAAATTGATAAGAACTATGCCTGAGTTACAACTCACAGTATCTTAGGAGCTTGATTAGAATCCAAAATAATCAAACAATGCAATAAGGTAGTATCCTTTATTGATTTCAAGAGTGTAAAGTGTCTATAACAGAGTAGCCATATTATATATAAGCTCATTGCACGAAAAAATAAAATTGATGATATGCTCCATATATATAAGTTATATATAATTTTGCAACGACCCGATCGGTCGTTTTGAGTTTTAGTATTCCATTCGATGGTTTGAGACTTTGAGCACCTTCATACTATGTATTATAACTTGCGTGTATGGTTGATTTCGATTTCCGAGTGATTTGGGATTGATTTGGAAAAATGATTCTCGTTTTAGAAGTTTTAAGTTGGAAAAGTTGACCAAGGTTTGACTTTTGGGTAAACGAACTTGGAATTGAGTTTTCATTATTCTAATACGTTTGTATGATGATTTTGGACATGTCCAGAAAGCTTGGTTAAATTTCGATGCGTTTTGGATAAGTTTGGGTTGTATGATGATTATTTTTGGTTTCGACGTCGATTTGAGCATAAAGGCTACCATATTGATCAATCGGCATTTGATTCGTATTTCGACTAAACAATTATACTTGTATCATAATTTTGGAACTATAGCAACTCGAATCATCAAGTTTCGACATCGTGTGAGGAATTTATGGTCATTTTACTAAGAAATTGGGTTACAAGATTTTTTTCAGATTAGTTACGAAATTGCTACTGAATTCGTATTTAAAAATTTGTACTATTTTCAAATATTGAAACCAACATATCTCCTTCAGGTCAAATGGAGGGATTTAAAATCCTAACTTGACTGGAATTTCACGAGTAATCCATTGGAGGCATCAAAAGCGAGTTTCGAAATAGTTTGGCACAAGAAACGAGGTAGGACAGCTGGGCAGAAGCATATCATATCGAGGGTTTGTTCATTTGATCATATTTTTGAGTTGGGAAGCTCGGATTTGGGCAATTTTCACCACAAGGATTGGGTTTCGATCCGTTCGGAGGATTATTTGAGCGGGATGGTGCTTCTAGTGTATCGATTTGGCTTGTTTGAGGTAAGTGTCTTGCCTAACTTTGTTGGAGAAATTTTTCCTACTAATTGCCATTATTTGATACATGCGGGGATGATCCATATATGAGGTGGCGAGCGTATATGCATGTGCCAGGATTAATCATACTCGGGGGTAAATTATACGATTAATTGTGCCTTGTAGAATTACGTGACCTTCTTGTTTTATGTCTTACTTGAATTATTGATTACTAAGAATATGAAATTAAATATTAGAAACCATGATTTAGCTAATTATAACTTGATTAAAATTTGACAGATTTTTGTGAAACTATTGATGTTTTTAATTCGGTCATCACTATGCTTAATCACTAATATACATTGCTACGACCGTTATTCTTGAGATATTGGATTCTATACTTGAGTTGAAGATCATTTTTGAGACTTGTTGAAATACTTGAACAATAAGGTTCTTGAGGTTTATTGAATTGTTATTGGCTTGGAAGTTGTGATTGATGTTCATTTGGAATATTCGTTTAATCACTCTCCTTGATGTTATTCATGCTTCCAACCTTGTTTGTCATTGATATACATATGCTTGGTGAGGAAGAGTATAAATCACGCAGGGTAATATCGTGCCATTACATTTATATTATTATGTGAGGATGAGAGTAAAAACACGAATAGTGATGTCGTGCCACTACTTTTACATTATCATGTAAGGATGAGAGTAAAAGTACGAAGGGTGATGCCGTGCCATTTCATTTACATTATCATACTTTTATATTATCACGTGTTCATGGAACGAAGGGTTTTTCCGTGCAAGCAAGGACGAGGGACAAGCATTATGTTGTGATATCTTTTCCTTGTTTATACATTCATGCCTTTACCTTGAGTTGTTACTATTGCACATATATTTTCTATGTGACTTGTCGTTGTTGTTTTGTCTTTGTCCTTTATCTCAATTATTGTTGTGTTATCCATGCCTTCTATCTGTTTAACTTGCAAATATCATGTTTTCCTTCTTGTTGTTATATCTACATCGATGGCGTTTCTTATTTGTTGCACTTTTGTATAAGCCTTCTATTGTCACGACCCCAATTTTTCTCTGTATGATGTCATGACGACACCTAGTCTCTAAGACTAGATCAGCCCAAACAACATGCGAAAATAGTAAATAAAAGCTTAGAATTTCAAAACTCCAACAATACCATAAATAAATTATAAACCCAATATGTACAATTCCCAAAACCTTGTGAGATATAAGTCACAAGGTCTAGATATATTACCGAACAATCCTATACATCATTGTCTATAAAAATATAAAAAAAATAAGGAAGAACAGGGTAGACGGGGACTCTATGGCCTACGGACGCGGGCAGGTGTACCTTGAAGTCTCCAAAAGAAAGCAACTCAGCGCGCTAAAATCGGGGCTGATAGAATGTACCTGGATCTGCACAAAAATATGTACAGAAGCGTAGTATGAGTACATCACAACAGTACCCAGTAAGTGTCAAGTCTAACCTCGGTAGAGTAGTGACGAGGTCAGGTCAAGGCCCTACTGGAGATAATAAAAAACAAGACATAAGACATAATGATATAATGTTAATTGCAAAGGAAGTAAAATAATTAAGAATTTACGGAAAGTTAACAACACGGAATCAAGTTACTCAATACAACACGAAAGGAAGACTTACATGATAAGGAAACAACAACCAAACAAATATAGGAAATAGAGAAAAGATCAACAGGGCACTCCCGTAGGAAACAACAACCAAACAAATAAAAGTAACTCACAATCTTTCCTTATATCACCGCGAGGGCCCTTACATTTAGTTTTAAAAATTATTTTCCCGAAATAGCACCCAGCATTTTAGCCCACCTTATCATACCGCATGACTTCTAGTAGTTCCCCTACTAGCCACGCGTATCAAGCCTACCTTATCTCACTGTATGCGTTTTAACACCCAGACCTTATACTACCGCATGTATATTAATAGTAACAACGACACGACAGAAACCTCGTGCAAATAGTAACAACAACATGGCAGAAACCCCGTGCAAACAACCAAACAATCCTCTCAACAATAAAACGAATGCCAAATACATAACAACTCAATAAAATGATATTTCACAACATACATTTTGCCTAAATAGCAACCACGGCCTTTGTAACTCAACACCAAACTCAACAGCAAGATATTTCAAGGATAGCAAATTTCAAGTAAAGAATCCCACACTTAAATAATGAATACGGAATTAAGAAAGCAAGTAATGCAACTAAACATGTAGTACAAGTTGCAAATAAGAGTTAAGACAAGTAGACATGTAAAACTAGACTAAACATGATGTCTAATTGGCTATAATATGCTAAAGTAACTCAATTAAAGTATGAAAAAGAAACTACGTAGCTAAAATCGAAATCTCAATATTTAGTACGTGTACGCACTCGTCATCTTGCGTATATGGCT